TTTTAATTTTATTTGTCGCGCTGCTGCTGATGTCACGTACGCGCTTTAATCGGGTGCACTTTAGTGGACCGCGGTTTTGACGGGTCACGCAATTTAGGAACTATTACTGTTGTTGAAGGAAAACAGTACCTCTTTGGCCAATTTGATGCCATGTTCATAAGTCAGGGGCTTCTCTTTCATGTATAATAACCGAGCCAAAGTTTTGGGGTCATCTCGAAGGTCAATCTAGAAATATATAGACAAACAGAAAACTTAAATACTTAGGTCCTTGTCTCTCTAATTCTCAAACGATAAATTTCATCAGCAAAATGCTCAGATCTATTTGAACAACTTGTAGGTGAGACGTTACTTCTTCCATACTGATTTCCAGACTCATTTTCAGTACATCTGTAATTACAGTGGACCAAAATAAGACAAACTATCCAACTCCCACCCGCTTCATTTATCAAAGTCTTTGGATCCTTTTGTGATCAAACATAATTCATTGCAGGAAAGTTTTCCCTGCTATTCCCCCAACTAGGTTGTATTTCACAGAGTATCCTGGTCTACAACTGATGGACATTCCCACTGTTTCTTTTTGGTTATTTACCTGTGTTCCTATCAGAACATAAGGCACATGTGGCATGCAGACTTTCAATTCTGGAACCCATTCCTCTTGGACATTGTGATAGGAAGCAGGGTTTACCACAGAGAAACAGATCAAAAACACATCTGTGTTGGGGTAGGAGAGGGGTCTCAGTTGATTGTAGTCCTCCTGTCAGAGCAAACAAGTACACAGGATGAGACCGAGAATTGCTATTTGGTCTCGGTTGCAGGGAATTCACTTCTTATTCAAAAATGTGAAAGGAAAAGGTAGGAAGACTTCGGAATCTTTGAAGATGCTCCAAAGCTCCACAAGTTGCTCAAGGATATTACTATTATGTGGATGATAGCTTTAGAAACAGTCTCTTAAATTAACCAGAAGGTGGTGCTAGTTGCCAGCGTAAACCACAAGATTGGCTTTCACATTTTCAAGTTGCTACTACTGTATTCTGAGAGGCAAACACTGAAATCAATTTAGAAAGGTCAGAAGGAAAGCTAGCGGGATAAAGGAAGACAATCCACAGCATTGAGATGGCTGTTCTTAATGATATGAGAAGGCGGCCTCATCAAAGTTTTATGCCAAGAGAAACCTGCAACATCTCTTAAGAAGCAGAAAACTGGATTTGCTCTTATTCATCATATCTGATATTGTAAGTTTAGGGTGGTAATTATATGATAGTTTTTGTAGAAATGTATATATTTCTATCTTTACAGAAATGTAAAATGTCTCTTTCAGAATGTCATAAGGAAAGGAAAACAGCTTTGTTATTCATGACTGAAAGAGTATGGCCTGAAAACAATAAATAAACTGGAGATGTTACTTACCTGTCCTGCTGTGTCATAAAGTCCAAGCAAATGTTGCCTGCCTCCAACTGTCACAGTAACTGTAAAAGGAGGAGATGTAGAAGAGAAAATACTTATTATTTATTAAATTTATATGCTGCATAACTCCCAATGACTCTTGGCCCGTATTGGCAAACCTATGGCATGTGTGCTATGCAGTGCTGTCTATGGGCACACAAGCCGTTGACCCAGTTCAGGTCCACCACGCATGCGTGGGAAGTGGGGTGCATGCATGTGCGGGGAATGGGACGTGTGTGTGGGACACACAGACATGTGTGGGGGTGGGGCACATGGGGGATGTGCACATGCACTGGGAACATGCACGGGGCTGTGCACACATGCATGGATGGGGCGCATGCGCAGGGCCATACACATGTTTCATTTTGGGAGTTTGGGTGCGCAGGTGGCAGGGTGCATGCATGGGGGCTGCATGCGCATTGCATTTTGAGTGTTCGGGCGTGCACACACTTGGGTTAGCCATCATGGCTCTAGGCAGTTAACATGTCATTTAAAACATTAAAACAAGATATGAATATAATAATATAAAGGGTAAAAATGGCAGAGATAACAAACCCAGATGGAAACAAAAGAAGAAAAAGGGGCTTCAATCAAGCTCGCCAAAGACTTGAAGAGCTAAGCCACATGGAACAATTCAGCCATAGTTCAGTTATTTATCTGCTTACACGCAACAGACAGAATCTTGCCAGACTAAATCCTTACTAGCCCCAGCCTAATGGACATACCCTGGGAGATTCTATTTAGTGGCTATCTGAATTCTCTTTTTCTGTCTGTTATCCATCTCCGGGCTATGCTTCTTCTTTTCTGCCCTCCCCGCTTTCTAGAATTTATTCCTTCTTTCTGAGAAACTGCCACTTCACTATAGTCCTTCACATCAGCTCCCCCTCCATGAGATCTCCCTCACAGGGCCCTTTGAAACACCAGCTGGATGGGGACATTCAGATCTTGAGAGGAATGTCATTTCTCAGTCGGGGACTGCTTCAGAGAAGGTACATTTCTAGAGTCCCAATAGTTAGCATTGAACTGACAAGCAAATAAGCATCTTGCTAGCATTTCTTGCTCTTGAGTTTGCTCAATAAGCAAAAACACTCAAATATCGTATCTGATGCTGCTTCTGAACATAAGTATTCCATCTACAACATAGCTGTAGAGAACATGAATCTTTATGAATCTAACCAGGTTCTTATTACAGAGATCCTATAGAGATTTAACTATACCATCCTATAGTGATGGTTATTAGCATATTTATTGTCCAACATAATTGAAACATATAACATTGGAGAACTCCATACATAGAAATATATAGAGTAGCATTATTGTTGTGATTCCTTGGACATGTCCCCAAAACTTTGAAGTTATGCATAAGTAAGGTAACTAGGAAACTGGGATTATCCAAGATAATTTTGAAAAGAATGACTCCATAGATTTAGGCTTTGATTACAGTTAGGAATATTTTCCCACTATGTGTTTCATAGATTCTGTAATGTTCTTTGTGTAACAATTCTTTTTGCCATCCTCAGGACAATTGTGGATTGAAGAGGCCTCTCTAGATTGCATTATTAGCACTCTTTGGCTACAAGGGGACATCATTAGGATCAAGGAGAGGCCACTAGATGGCAGATCCTTGAACCCTTGCAACATAGAGTTGCATTTCTCTGCCACAGGCTGCGGTGGATAGTTTGGATGACAAGGTACTGCCCCTAGAGGAGAAAGTTTGCACAACTCCTGTCAGAGGTGGAGACCGAGGCTTTTCCAAGATAAGATGAGTGCTTCACACTACTATTACCATCTTTTAGACTACCTCATACGATGCATGAACTTTATGGGAGACTGTCTTTAGAAACTTTAGAAATTTGTTTATTTATACAATTGACTCCCAACATGTTACATGGGAACACCTGTATTGCAAGCCCTCCATTGACTGTACCAGAGGCAGTATTCAGCAGGTTCTGACCAGTTCTGGAGAACTGGTAGCGGAAATTTTGAGTAGTTCAGAGAACCGGTAAATACTACCTCTGATTGGCCCTGCCCCCATCTATTCTCTGCCTCCCGAGTCCCAGCTGATCGGGAGGAAATGCGGATTTTGCAGTATCCTTCCCTTGGAGTGGGGAGGGAATGGGGATTTTACAGTATCCTTCCCCTGCCACACCCACCAAGTCACGTCCACAGAACCGGTAGTAAAATGTTTTGAATCCCACCACTGGACTGTATCCTCTTTAAGGTCCTGNCTCTTCCCTCAAAGGTTCTTTTTTTCTTGAAACTCAGGTCACAATGCACTACATCCTGGAACATTGGCTGGCAGTGATGATTCTGATAAGCTTCCACTTGTTCAATAACTTATGTCCAGACAAGGGCAAACAAACACACATGCACAAAGATTACTCAATTCAATTAGCAAAAATCTAGCTTGATATTTATTAAACACCGATACTTAACTGCATCAGAATAGAGATGGAAAGTAGGACAGCAGGCGATTCTTCCTGTATTCTGCATAATGAAATAAATAAATGGTGGAAAAGCAATAATATATTCAACAAGAGGGACCTTATCTCATACACCAACTAACTGAAAAACTGGCTAACTGACTGGGTGGATATTTGCAGCATCATGATTAGAGAAAAATATCTCTAAAATAAATTATGCTTATTTTGGAATGATTTTTCTTTTTTACTAGTAGACTAGAGACAACCTGTAATTCTTTGGTTCATTCCTCTTTCCACATATAATATGGGCTTGTGCTGTTTCTCCTCCCCTCACAACCTCAGAAGAAGGAGAAGCCGCTTCCTTCTTCCCCTTAGTTGACTCGTGGAAATTCCTGCTACTTCACTAAGGGGAGTGGAAACAAAGGGAGTGATGAACCATGAGAATAACTGCAACACCCCCCTCTCCATTTTGGTATGTCCCCATGGTCCTGTTTATCAAAGGAGGAAGAGCGTTTACTTGTCACTGGCACTTTCTAGTCAGCCCTACCTCACCAACAGACATCCCAGTTGTTCCCTTGTCCTTTATATTTGCACATAGAGATTTGTGCCATTTCTCCTCCCCTCACAACCCTTAAGGGAGCAAGTGGTGAAGAAGCCTCTTACTTCTCTGCCTCGGCTGAACCCATAATACTGCATGCCACTTTGCTGTGAAGTAGGGGAACAAAAGAGAACAGCAAAACATGGGGATAAATGCAACTTCACTCTTCATTCTAATGTATCCTAAGGGCTTCCACCCTACTGGGAGGAAGAGAGCTCACACGCCAACTGATGATACCACCCATGCAGCCCTTATGTTGCCAGCTGATATCCAAGCCACTCCCTGGTTCTCCCCTCACCAGTCTTCATCATTAAGAGAGTTTGAATTTTGACTTCAGTCCAAAGCAGACAATGGTTGTTTGCCCATAGGCTGATTGGATATTGGAGTCAGAGGAAGAATGTGGAGATATGCACCACCCATTTTCCCTTACACCATACAACTTACAGGTTTCTGGGAAATGTAGTCAGGAGATGTGGTTGTGGTAAAGTGGCTTACAAGTTCGCCAAATTTCAGTTCTATAAGAGTCATGGGTCCAGATTTTGGACACATTCTGTAAGTTTGCTCATTTGCAGTACATTGATTCAAACACAGTTGTTCCATGGTACATCATTTTGCCCAACTGAAGGTTACAAAGTATCAAACAGACAGAAGAGTTTTAGTAGTTTAAAGATAATATATGCAGCTAAGCATTGAGCTGTTGAGCCTTGGTGTTCTCTAAGCTTAGTTGTTTTCCTGCAAACATTTCATTATCAAGCTGAAAACTCTTATTTTCTCTGCATGAGCCCAGAAAAACTCATATGTGCAACTGGTGTTATCTCTGTGGTAGTACTTCTAAGGACTTCTATTTGTTAAAAAAGAAAATGAAGAGAGGGGGAAAATAGCTACTTGGACAAAGTATACTGATGCATACTGAGGCAAGTGAGAAACCTGACTACCAATGAATCATCATCTTCTTTTAATGACCCCATAATCCCTTGCTGAGTGCAGTCTGGGCAACTGAATGGAGCTGAGTGTTTACTGACTGGATGCCCTTCCAGTCACCAATGTGGAGTTATTTTCAGCAGATATATTCTCAACGTGCCCAGTGAGAGAAATATCTACCTCTACCTAGGATCAAACTTGCAGCCTCCTGATTGTGATGCGAGAGTTCCACCGCTGGGCCACTTCTAGGTCACAGCAACACTAAACCTGACTACCAATGAATGCATGGAAAAATTAGGAGGCCACTCTACATTGAAACCTCTGTTCCTGGCAGCTGCAGGATGGAATCTGTTGTCTTCTGTCTGTCATATTTTCCAGAAATGTTCTGATTTTAAAACTGCACTTGTCCAAATATATCTTCTGTTTCATCTTTGCTTCCTGTCCCCTCCCTTTCCAGCCCCTTTGTGATGCTGAACCTGTCATGTTGAATGCTCCATTTAGCTCTCTTCCAGCTGTATAGCAAATGTTTCAGAATATACTTTTGTTGCTCTCTGGAAGCAACGACTTGAATAACGTGGAATTTCTTGAGTAACATGTCACTGTTGGAAATGTTTGCCTATATCAGAGGTGGTATTTAGCAGGTTTGAGTAGTTTGTAATCTCATTTTTGCATTGTTTAATCCTAATGTCTGAAATCAGGCAGAGTGGGCTTGCTCCAAGACAATCAAAAACTGTCATTTATCAGGAGATAGATGAATCTAATACAATTTCTCTGCAATTTCCAGATAAAGTAAATGTCTACTTCAGAGGTGGTAATAAGCACTAGTTCTGGAGAACCGATAGCGGAAATTTTGAGTAGCTTGGAGAACCGGTAAATTCCACCTCTGACTGGCCCCTATTCTCTACCTCCTGAGTCCCAGCTGATCAGGAGGGAATGGAGATTTTGCAGTATCCTCCCCCTGCCACGCCTACCAAGCCACGCCCCCAAATCATGCCACGCCCAAGCCATGTCTATAGAACCAGTAGTGAAAATGTTTGAATCCTATCACTGGCCTATATACAGTAAGTAACAATGACAGAAG